GGGCTATGGGAGACTCTGGACCTTGTGGACTGTGTTCTGAAATACATTATAATACAGGTCCTGAGGATGATTCGAAATTTATAGTCAACCAGGAGGACTCTCCAGTGGTTGAGATCTGGAATCTCGTTTTTATGGAGTTCTACAGGTTAGTCACTTTATCGTCAATCTTTTATCGAATGAACTTAAGTTTTCAAATCGTTTCAGAGATAAGGTAGGCCGTATTACTCGTTTACCAAGCCGACACATTGACTGTGGGATGGGTTTTGAAAGGATTTGCGCGGTAATGCAAAATGTTCATTCAAATTATGAAACGGATATTTTCATGCCCCTTATCACGGCTATAAAGAAAGTTTGTTCTTCAGTATATATAGATTACTCGTTAATTTTTGATGTCAGCATCTTATTTTTATTGCGTTTAGCACAATGTAAGCAACATAGATTTAGAGTGTTTGCAATAGTGCAGTCAGGTTATCAGTTTAAACTTCCAATTCTGTGTCTTTTCATACTACGTTCTTTTTTTTTTTGTTGGTGTCAAGTTGTTCAATTAAAGTTCAGTGAGAGAGTAAATCACTGCGTGGATGGCACACGAAACAGTAAAAAAATTGAAGCTTATCGTGTCATTGCGGATCACCTTCGCGCATGTTGCATTGCGATTGCAGACGGTGTTATTCCAGCGGGTACTGGAAGAGGGTACATTTTTCTTCAAATTTCTTTCTAATTCTTTTGTTAGTACAGCAAACATTAACGTCTATAAAAGCGTTTCCCTTGGTAATTCCCCTCACTTTTTAGTTTTGTGCTCCGCGAATTGTTGCGTCGAGCAGCACTTATTTCAGAAAACATACTGCATTCTGGACCCAATTTACTGCAGGAAGTTATACCAGCCTTTATAGACCATATGGTTTGTTTTGAATGTGTTTAAAATTAATTGCGCTTTGGTCTTATTTTTGGCAGTTCAAATTTTATCACAGTTTGCTTTTTAGGGCAAATCTTTTCCAGAAGTTTCCAAGAGTTCCGCCAGTATAAGAAGTATTGTTAGATCAGAGGAGTCTAGATTTTGGACTTTGATTTCTCGAGGGAAAAAGTTAGTAGAAGAGTACTGTTCGGGTAGATCTATATCAACAGTATTTCCTGGTGAAAATTTTCTTCTGGAATGTCTATCTCTATTTCAGACAGTTTCTTTTTTTTTTCTGATTCGAAAAGTATTTACGATTTATTGTGTATAATCCGGAATGAACATTAGTTGTTTAAATGAATTTTACTAAGGTCGTCATTTGAAAAGTATAGGTAGCTGCTACAAGTGTTTGGGAAAAGAGCTATTAAGGAAAAGTTTTTCGCAGCATTGTTTTTAATCATGTAGATGTTTCTGAATTTTGCACAAAGAAACTAAGAAGTCGACTGGTGCTCCCAGTTTAAGGCGAGTTAGCGAGTTACTTTTGGCATTCTCACGGCATACCACTGGAAGTGATTGAGACCGTCCTTGCCGAGAGAGGAATGACTGTTGACTTAGCAGAATTCAGAAAATATTACAACGAAAATCTGCAGGTTTGTTCAGCTGCTACTGTTAATCATTTATTTTTGGGAGATACTGTTAGTTCTGTATATTCTTTGCAGAAATCTTTAGCGGGGGATAAAAAGAGAAAAACTGGAAACTCCTTTGCTGAGAGGCTGTTAGATCACTATAGAGATATTCAACTGCCAGATACTGAGGACTCACCAAAATATGATTATAAAAACGAAAGGGGCGTTTATGGTATGAGCGGTTTTTTTTTCTTTTACTTCAGTGTCACGTTTCCTGACTTTGTCTGAGTTAGTTTCTACAGCTTTTCCTTCGACCGTTGGGGCTTGTCTACTTCTGATTGATGAAAACCTTCATATTGTTGAACGGTTGGAACCGGGAAAAATCGGTTGTGTTATTCCCTCAAAAACATGTTTCTATGCCGAAGAGGGAGGGCAAGCATGCGATGCCGGTGCTCTTCAAGACTTCAATGGGGTTCTTTTTCATATGTACTGTGATTTTTAAAAAACCAGTGTTGATCACTTCATTTATCTTCTTATGAGTGAAACGGTAGGAGTTATTTTTCACTGTAAGTTACTTTTTCAAGGTTTTAATTTACTCTTTCATTTCAGAAAACTCTTTTCAATGTTAATCACGTTTTCAAGAACAAAAATTCTGTTTTTCTAGTTGGCACTACTGCAGATGCAGCTTTGACAAAGAGTGCCTTCGTAAATCAACGAATTGATTCTGTTAGTTGTTAAGATTGCTGCTTCTCAATTTTCCTTATCTGACTTAGATGTATTTCTAATTATCCTAAAGTCAATGATGTGTATACCATAGGTAGTAACAATCTTTTTGCATTTAGGCCCGGCGCACCTCGTTGATGAAAAGTCATACTGCGACGCACTTACTTCTTCATGCAGTACGAAAGTTGTGTGGCTCTAGTGTAATGCAAAGAGGGTCTTCAGTTTTACCTGGACGATTAAGACTGACTTGCTCTCTGCCAAAACCACTTACGACAAATCAAGTTTGTTCTTTGTGCAGCATTTTTACCTAAAAATGCTTTTGTATTTGCAGTTGACTGAAAGTTTTATAGTGAACTCAGGCATACAGATACAAGCCGCAGGATTTTTATGGGTTATAAATGACGCACAAATTTACTAAGATTATTAATTTAGGTGTATGATTTACAAAACCATGTGAAGAAATTTATTGCTGATGGGAAACCAGTATATATTCAAGATTTATCGTTATCTGATCTGAGTGGGTTGAGGAGTTTGCAGACGTACCTAGAGCCCTATCTTATGGTAAGTTACTTCAAGATTTCTAGTCCCTTGTGTTTTTTGTTTCTTAAGTATTTTTTGATTTTAGAAACTTAGTCTACGACGTAAACATCGTGTAGTTAGCATTGGAGGAGTTGCTCAGTCCAAGGATTCTCAGGCCGTAGAATGCTGCTGTGGAACGTAATGGCCTTATTATAAACTTTTCAAAACTCCCTTTCCTCAACCTTTTTTCCTCCATGTCATATTGGTACTGTTGTTAAAACAGACCTGCGAGTAAAGCTGTTACAAAACTAACTTTCCAGTCATGTTCACAATACTGCCGATATTGGAGAATTTCAAATTATATCTAAGAAAACGGTTGGTGCTGGATTATGCCGCATAGAAGCAGTAACAGGTAGTGAAGCTCTTGCAGCGCTTAAAAATGCTGCTGATTTGGCACATCGTATAGCTTTGCTTGATTATTCGTCTCGATCAGAGATTCCACACATTAAAGAAGTGAGTTTTGAAATTCTCAAATTCATTAGATCCAAATCTCTGCCTCGCTGCAAAAACTTTGGGGAGTGTAGTCTTCTTAGTATACGCTCCAAAATTAAACAGTAATCTCAAAAAGAATGTTGAGGCAATTTTTTGACCTCGTTCTTTTTTCTTCTCATCTCTTTGTTTACTTATTGTAGAGTATTCAAACACAATTGGTACCATTGATTTTGAAGGTAGAGCTGAATGTGGCACTCAAAAAGGCAAGGAAAATTATGATGAAAAATTTGTAAAAATTTCTTCATTGAGCAGTCTTAGTGTTTTGTCTAATTAGGCTTTATTTTACGTATAATCTTGTCAGTTTTTTAGCTCATGAAGTTTTTCTAACTTGTTATTAAAATGCTTTGTAAATCATACACTGTAAGAATTCCATTAAAAGTTATTTCTGACTAAAATATGCATGTAGTTGGAAATTTGTTTTATTTTTAAATGCCTCAAAGTAACTGGTCTGAAGTTACAAAGATATAATTCTTTTACTGATTGGAGCCGTTGGGGAAATAGTAATTGGCACTTGAGGGCATGCTCATTTTTGTCATTGAGTGGAGATAACTCATTGTTGCCGTTACCATCAGTAATCAGTGAAGGTACTTTCAAACCCGTCAGCAGCTACTGCAAATATATCACTTTAACAGTTTATTAACGCGTGTTAAATGTTCTCAAAAGTTTTGAATAGCTTGCCGGAAGATGATTATGATAAGTGGAAAGTATGTGATGTATGTTGACTTTGGAAAGGATAATGACGTTAAGTAGATTTTTAAAATTTGGGTGAAGTTTTTTGTGGCAGTATTTTAAACTACATACAGGCGGCGTCAAGATCATTCAGCACCTGGCCAATATAATCTTGCTGGTTTTGCTCTTCGTCTTCCTTATTATTCAAAAATCTCAGAAGTGTAAGAAAGGCGGTGAAGGCGGTTCTTAACAAGCCCATTAGGGCACACTGCAAAAGCACAGTTTCTAATGACCGTCAAATTTTTTGTGCTGCTTCTTAATGGAAAAAAATTTGTTGAACAGTAAAAACTGTGAGTCAAAATGAAGCTTGTTCAATTAAGCATGAGGTACCGCAAACAGAGGTTTTATTGGTGTTGGAAGAGGGGGCTTTTGATTAGTTCCGCTAGCTCCTGCAATAATTCCAGAGGAGCGAGGCACTACTTCCCGCACTGGTCGTGTCGTAGGCTTTTTAGCACCTACCTTCCGTTTAAACTTGGCGGGCTTGAGCGTATGTTTATTTGCTGTGCGTTTCACTGACGCCGTCGGAATAATTCTGGTACTTTGTTTGGGTGAGCTAGATTTAGCAGGATTAGGAGCGCTGCTAGGAGTATCCACAACTGGTAATGGTGTCCTCCGGTTTGCTGAAGTACTACCATTATCTGTCTCGGGTGTATCGTACTGAACATTATCGGCTACAATCCTGGAATTTCGTGAAACTCTTGGTAGTGTCATCCTTCTTGTCAAAGCTGTACTAGTATTTTTCTGGTCCACAATGGATTCTGTGCCATTTGATGCACGTTTGAAGCCACGCGAGTCTGCTATTCTCGCCTCGTTGGATAAGGCTATTCAACAATAGTTAAATTGTGGGTTATAGGCAAATCATGAAAAACAGTTTTTTAATTTTGGCAGAAAATACACCAATTGCTTCAGACTTTATATTCTAATTTCTCCCAAAAATTCTGTATTTTTTGTACTTTTTTTTTTTTTTTTT